ATATCAATATAAAAAAAAAAATGTAATTCGATAATTTAACTTAAAATCAATGGACAATATGTCAAATAGATGTATTATATTTAAACACATTCTTTCTTAATTTTTTGGTGTGGGATTTTCCCTAGTTTTCACATTATATACCTCAAGAATCCCATTACGAGCAGTGAGTACACCAGAAGCAATGGTAGCAGCTCCAGCGAGGAAGCTAGAGTGGTGGAACAATCCCTTCTTCTTTTCCCCAACATAAAGCTTCCTTGATGTACTTAGAACGAATATCAATTTGGATCCCTCAGTGCTAGTCACAGGCTTCTTACTTATTTTGTAAAATAACTTCCTTTCGTTGATCACAACTTCATATGCTTCCCTCTCTTTCTGCAATACAAAAGTTATTTTTTAAAAAAATAGAAGAATGGACTTAACCAATTAATCAATTATAAACAATAATTATATATATATATATATATATTTTTCCATACAGGTCCAAGGTATTTAACGCATTCTTGTTGCAGTTTGGTCCTAGGGCAGTCCTCAAGATTCACTTCTTTTCCATCTCCATGATCCAACCTTCATTAAATAATTTAATTTTCCAATAAAACAAGTTGAAGAAATGTCATGCACGGTTAGAGGAATAAAAAATGTTTAATTTTTTTTTTTTTTTTTTTTTATGGAAATCATAAGTTGCTTTCATTGCATATGGTGAAAACAAGTACATCATCATGAACAATCAGCAGCAACCAAAGACATAAGAGAAGGCCAAAAACCTTCAATATCTACAAAAAGGTGAAGCAGATAACTGGCAAGCATCACGTGCAAGTTCATGGACACGTTGCTACTATCTAAAAAATGCTTAATTAAATTCACATAACTAGTAGACGTTTATTTGTAAACTTAAAAAAAAAAAGGGAAATTGTAAACTTTTTTTTTTTTTTAATATAGAGAGACTAAGCATCTAACTCTAAATTTATTTTTTTTTTGATCAGCCAAATAAAAACTTTTTATTTAAAGAAGCACAAGGGGTGCTTCAACCCATCTACAACAATATGGCACCCACATCTTGATGGTACCCACATCTGATTGGAGCTAGGCTCCTTACAACCCGAATATGACAAAAACAAAACCTTCTGCACTGCCAAACCCTCAACCAGGGGACCCGAATGTCTTGTAGAATTGCTTCCGCATCCTTTTATGATTTTTGACAGCCATAGCGCACTCCATCGGACGAGTTTGCCATTCATGAAAGGAGAAGACGCAGCCATTCACTTTAGATTTAATCCATAAAAAGGTTTTGACTTGCACCCTTTCCAGCAGATTTTCTATTAAACCTTCATCTTTTCTAAATACTTGAGCATTGCGTCTATACCATAAATACCAAGCAACCACTAGAAAAATACAGGATCCCATCTCCTTCCCAACTATTCTTCCTAAACCTCCTAAGAAAAAATCTGTCATTCCCACCACTGTATTAGGCAAGACACTCTCCACACCCCACCAACACAACACTTGAGTCCACAGTAACCATGTCTTATAACAAACGCAAAATAAATGATTAACTTCCTCCACATTCTCGTTGCAACAATCGCAAAAAGCCCCTACTTGTAGCTGTATCCCACGCTTTTGAAGGTTTTCCTTTGTTGGGAGCCTATTTAAACATAATCGCCACCCAAAAAAAGCCACTTTTGATGGCACCCATCTACACCATATTAATTTGCACATCTGGTCTTCTAAAACACACTCCGTAGATGCTAGAAGGTCATAAGCTATTTTTACAACATATTTGCCTTCTATCTCATGAACCCACTTCCAAACATCCCCCACCCCCTCCTTTAAATGTACCCCCTCTAGCATCTTTTCCAGCATCTCCTCCTCATTTTTCTCACGCCCTATTGTTCCCCTTCTCCACTCAACCCGCCAGACCCATTTACCCTCTTCCCAAAAGCCCATTTCGGCAACCTTTCCTTCCTTCTTCATTGATAACTCAAATAGCCTTGGAAATAAATCCCTAAGATTTTTATCTCCAACCCACCACTCATGCCAAAAGGCCACTTTATTACCCTCACCCACCTCCCACTTGAAACCCTCAGCCAGCATATTCCTATGTTTCCATGACTGACCCCCTATCCTAATAATATCTCCCCACAGTTTTGAAGTCCTCGCACACTCAATCGCTGTGATATCGACCTCCCTCCTACCTCCATAGTATTTCTCCCTCACCACCCTTTTCCACAAGCTGTCAACCCCGTCACCCATCCTATACCACCACTTCCCTAACATTGCCCAATTTTTTCTACGCAAATCCGGCACCCCTAGACCCCCCTTCGCCTTAGCACTACACACATAGTCCCATTTAACCCATGAAATCTTCTTATTTAGCCCTGTCCCTCCCCATAAAAAGCACCTTTGAATTCTAATCATCTCCGCAAGCACAATCTTAGGCAACAAAAATAACGACATATAAAAAATAGGTAGTGCAGAAAGTACCGAATTTAGCAAGATGAGGCGGC